TTTCCCTCTGTCTTATTTACGTGGGGAGGACCCTGGAAGCTGGTTCTTCACTAAAAGCAACCCATGAGAAATGGTGTTTCTGAGGCCTGTGGGTGGACACACCACCAGGAGATCTCCAAGGATGAAAAACGTCCTCATAACCTCCACAAGCAGATGAACCCTGCTTAACACAGAGGTCCTCTCTCTGGGCTGGCCGCTCGGAGTTGAACAAAGAACAACCAAACTCATTTCCAACATCTCCCCCATCCAATATTCTCCTCTCTCCTGAAGTTCTTTACTTGATCTGCAGTCATTCCCTCATCCCCTTTCTCCAAAAGCTGCCTACTCCACTAGAAACGGGCCGTAACAGGCACCTCAACCTGAAGAAAAGGCATAAAAAGAAAAAACCTAAAGCCACCGAGGTCCTTCCCCTGCAAGGACATGACCTTTCCCACCCAGCTTCACAGCTCGGAGAACTTTGCTGGAGGAACATCAACCCAAGAAGCCTGAGGTCCATGGGTAAAACCTCACCAGAGCGCCGCAAAAGAGGCAGGGCCCAGAGCCCTCCTGCTCGCAGACGATGCGCCCACAGACCAAGCAGTTGTTGATGAGTTTGTGCTTCTGGCCCAGGCACTCGCAGGGGTGACGCCCCGGGATCAGCACGGCCAGCTTGTCCTGCCCCTCCTTGGTGTAGAGGTTGACATATTTGGGTTTCTTCTTGGAGGAGCTGCTCGCACCGGTGGCCCCCCTGCTGTTCTCCTGGGCCTGGGAAGGGGAAAAAAAACCCCAACAAATAAACTGAATCCGAAAGAAAGATGAGGAGGTGCAGGCTCCTTCTTCTGCCCAGCTGGAATGGAACTGGGACCAGAGCCCAGAAGCCACAGAAAGACAAGCTCATGGCTGCCAGAAGAGGTCTGAGGAGTCCAAACCAAGCAAGGATGTTGCCGACGCACTTGATGTTTCATAGAATCATCACGGTTGGAGAAGACCTCTAAGGTCATCAAGTCCAACCATCAACCCAACGCTCCCATGACCATGTTGTTCAGGCAACGGAACAAAGCCAGGTGAGACCCCTTCTCTGGAGATCCTCAAATGTGGAGGCTTCAAGAAGGAAACACAACATGCCCCAGACACAAACCTGTCTTGTAACACCAGATGAAACCAGTTTCAACCAAGAATCACATGCCAGGTATGAAAAAAAAAAACACTAAAACCAGATGAAATTACCTTGGTTAGCAAAACTTGGCCGAGCTTTCCCAAGTTGGGCTTTTTTTTTAATAAAATTAGGTGACAGTGAGGCAATACATTATCACTGTCCATTTTGAACCCTCCAGTTCAAAAAAATGTGGAGTCTTATTGGACCTAGAAACACTTTCCAAGCATTTGTAGCCTCCCTGCTATAAAAAACACTTCCATTTAAAATCAGAAATTGAAGTTCTACTATTTTTTCAGGTGCAGCCTTCACTCTGAGCCTTGGCTCAGTCAACCTGGGATGAATTTATCACCTGGATAAATCCTGGAATTTCACTCCAGGATGAAAAAACAGATAGGAAGCAGAGCTGGGCTCCAGGGAGAGATGCTGGGCACAGGTCCTGGGTTCCTCGCACCAGCAGCTGAGGAACCGGTGCCCATTCGTGGTGACCACGCTCACCTTGGCCAGGTCCAGGGGGGTCTTCACGGCCTCCACGTGGGCGCCAGGTTCGGCACCCACCGGTATCTCCTGCTTGTTCCGCCCCTTACGCTTCCCCTTTTT